AGGGAGCTCGTCACCAAGTAGCTCACCACCAGGGAGCTCGTCACCAAGTAGCTCTCCACCAAGGAGCTCGTCACCAGGTAGCTCTCCACCAGGGAGCTCATCACCAGGTAGCTCGCCACCAGGGAGTTCGCCACCAAGTAGCTCATCACCAGGCAGTTTGCCACTAGGGAGCTCCACCATCATCTGAGTCATAAGCCACCTGGAAGCAAGTCAAGTGACGAGGTACTTATCTAAAAAATTGATACATCTGAAAAAATTGGTACGTGATCAGAAACGGTTACATCAGTATAATAATAGGGTCCACAGTCCAGTCCACTAAATAAGATGGGGAACCAAATAGTCAAAACATAACACATTCTCTAAGTGGATTACAAGAGATAAAAAGTGTTGACATTGAAATTGGCCATGACGGAGGAGATTGGAAGTTGCTTGAGTAGGGTGTCATTTCAATTTAGAGTGTCACCTCCATTTGACACCTCGTATGCTAAGGGACACCTGCAACTAGAAGAGAACTCAGAAGCCTCGAGGTGATATCACCCCAAGGGTGTGGATTCTGACGATTAAGTCAATAATGATAAGGGAAGAGAAGGTGAGCTAGTGAGCTTGGTGAGATGATTTGGAGAGATCAATGAGAGACTTGAAGAGCTCCGTGGGAGAGATTAGATGTGAGACATATGCTGAGGTGTCTGGTGTGTCTTGTGCATAGTAGCGTAATGCCACGTTATGTTGTGTCCGAATGAATGAGGAGTTCACCTATTTATAAGAGAGGGGGCTTCATCTAAGAAATGACACATCTCTCAAACATGACTGGAGCTCGGTCCACTAGTCGCACCCTTGGTTGACATGTTACATGCATGTTGTATGCACGTGGTAGGCAGTAGGCTTACATGGAATATGTTAACGTTGATGTTCTGATTAGCTTGGCCACATGTTATGAGCTGGTGCCAGTCAGCTCAATAAGATTAGTCAGCTCCTCTAGGTTAGGTCAGTTTGGTCAATTAACAACTTCGCCCCTTGCATGTTGCCACTTGGCGGTTTCTGATTGCCCCCCTCCCCACTTTCAAGGATGAGGTAGCGTACAGATTGGTACGTCCGAAGGAAGTACCAGTTTGTCTACTTGTGTCTCCAAGCCGATAGGTTAGCTTTGTCTCGTGTTCGATTGAGTTAGCATGGTTTGGCCACTGCCACAAGTCACTTTTACCATATCTTTGGCTTAGCAAGGAAATTTACTAGTTGAGGTGATGAAATGTTCTTTTTGCTTAGGTTCCCATAGATGACACCATTTTATTGGCGTTGAAATTGGCTACGATGGTTGAGATGGAAAGTTGCTAAAGTAGGGTGTCATCTCAGTTCGGCACCTTGGTCGGTAAGGGAGATTTACAACCAAAAGAAACGTCAGAGGCCCCGATGAAATATCTCAATGGAGTGGACTCCGATGGTTAAATCAATAGTGCGAAGGGAAGAGAAGGTGAGATGGAGAGCTTAGTGAGATGAGGTGAGAGCTCGGTGAGAGAGTTGGAGAGATGAGATGTGAGACGTGTGCCTAGGTGTCCGACGTGTCTAGTGCACAATAGCGTAATGTCGTGTTATGTTGTGTCCAAATGAATGTTGGGCTCATCTATTTATAAGAGAGGAGCTTGACCACGTGTTGCTTGTACATATTATGAGCCAGTGCTAGGTCATCTTGGCCAAGTCAGCTTACCCTAGGTGAGCATGGTCAATTAACAATTTTGCCCCAAACATGTTGCCACTTGGCGGTTTCTGACTAGTGGTCGGTATTGGGTGTATCAAATTTCATCACATGAAATTGAGAACCAGATGAATTGTGGATTTCAACAGGTAATGTCTTGTAGAAAACACGCCTTATTTTATTTTTTCCATTTGCTTTTAATACTAAGAGGAATAACATGCGTGTAGAATGTTCTGAATTGTGGGATCCATTGACCACTAATATAAATTCTTTTTTTAACCCCAAAATTTACTTTGGGTGTAGGAAGGGAGAACATAGCCTATCTTTACCAGACCCATGGATAATTAACAAGATTTCTCACTATACCTCTCAAGGTAACCCCAATAAAAAATCAAGACAAAAAGAGTCATGCATTACATTGTGCTGCCCAAAACATTATGCCCAACAAGGAAATACAAGTCCCATTCATGAGGAGAGAAACCCAACATGGCTAGCTAAACCAACAAGGGACTTTACTAGCAAGCCAAATGGCACGTTCATATAGAAAATGTTAAGCTTGGCTAGGCTCTAAAGGTTCAAGTTTTGGGGGACGTGGAGAGAAAAATGGAGACAACGTTAACTCATTGTATCACAGCACTAAATCAAAATTGAATTGATTTAAGACAAAGAAAAAGGTATTCTTCTAAATAATATGATTAAAGTTATATGATACAATTTTATATCTAAGTATCGCGCATGCATATTGATTGTAATCTTTTTTTCCATATATATTATTAAAATATGTATTTTATATAAAATTTGTGACTATCTCAACCTTAATTTTATTGTGCTAAAATATTTGTAGGATTTATAGGAGTTTTTATAATGTATCTAAGTGTATTCATATCTTTGCACCCATCCATATATTTCTAAAGTGTACCTATATTTGTGTGGGTAAGATACTCCATATTAGATACCATTATTTTGAACTTTGCACTTGGTTTGGTGTGGAAGATCCATTTTATCACATGAAGGCATCAATTTATGAAAGGCTTGTGGACTTACAAGGATGCTATAAGCCTCTAAACCTTGCCTTTCCACCAACTGAGATTGATGGTGGCTTAGTTGGTGGGATCATTTGCTAGTTGTAGTGGTGATTCAGGATGAATTGGGATCTGCTCCTCATAGCCACATTATAAATACAAGTATGGGAGATGTTCCTAAAGTGTAGTTAGTACATGCTGTGAGGTCGGTGTGAGGAGTGCTCTTTGAGGAGTAGATCCAGACTTAAATTTTGTTACCACCAAGTTTGGGGGCTTATGGGTAGACTTGCTCATGGGCCAGGTCAAATCAAGTTCAAGTAGGGATGGATGTTCATCAAACTGATGAAACTACCCAATTCGACCCAGGTTGGTTGGTTTTCTAATTATTTTGGTCGGTTTCAGTTCAGTTCTTATGCTAACTTGAGAGGTTGGGTTGGTTTTAGTTTGGCCATTTGTAAACTAACCAAAACTGATCCGACCCAATCATAGATACATATTAATATTTTATGTTTTAAATTTATACTTTTTAATATGAAAAAGTGGGAAAATTCCCATATTTCCTAGTTTAAAGTATTTTATATTGTAGTTTTTTTAATTTCTGTTTTTAATAATACCATTACAATTGTTTAAATTTAAATTTAATTTTTAAATTTAAATATTTTAAAATGACCGACCAAACCAATACAACCAAAGTTGGCTAGTTTTCACCACTGGTTGGTCGATTTTGGATGACCAACTCTCTAACCTAACCAGGTCAGTTTGATTGGATAAACAGTTCGGAACCAAACTGGACCGACCTCTAAACACTCCTAAGTTTAGGTCAGGTTTTGACTTGACCATCGGTCCTAGGTCTTGGTTATAAATCTAACCATCATATAAAGCTTGAAGCTTGGCCTAGAAATTATTAGGGAAGAAGATTTTTTACTTAACAACACTAATTTAATTATGTTAAACAACCTCAA